ACCACTGACCACAGGAGGATAAAGTAATGAGGTGATGTTCATGGAGACTAAACAGTGTGTATCCTGAACAGTGACAGAAATAAACCCAGAATACACTCTTAAAAATAACTGTGGACTTGAATGTACGTTTCTAGGAAAAAAACATTTATTATATTTAACGTTTTATGAACTACATAACAATAGTTTTCTGTGCTGCCACACCTTTACCAAAATATCACAGCATAAATAAAAAGGACTCATTGTGCTAAATAGCCTGTTGCTTCTTACTTTGGATAAAGTACTTTATTTAATTCGTGTTATTGAAATTGGTGACTGATTTAAAATAGAAAATTATGAAATGCAGGTTTAGTCCATTTAAGAGCAAATAATTTTATTTATATTGCAAGTTTGGTTAATAGAAAGTACATTGGCTGTAAAGAAATCAGAATCACCCATAATATTTAAAGATTGGTGCAACCCTAATAAAAATCGCAGTATTTTTAATGTGGCACTGAACCATCTTCTATGGCATCACTCCAAAGAACCCTTTATGGCGCCTTTATTTTTTAGAGTGCTGTCTGAGTTTATTTATTGGTCTCTCATCTGGATACACACTGCTTAGTCTCTGCGAGCATCACCTCATTACTCTGTCCTTCTGTGGTCAGTAGTAAACTACCAACTGGAGACTGCAAAATTGTTTCTGCGTGTGTGCGCATGTGTGCTCTCGTGCCGATGAGACTCTTTCAGACATTGACTAATCATCCCCCCATGTTCTTCTTGGCCGTATTTCTGAAATTACCCAGGGTAAATAGCTTTCCCTGTTCCCTCCTGCTAGAGGATATGTCTCTAGAGAGAGCGAGTGTGTGTATGTGTGTGTGTATGTATGTACTGGGGTAAATCTAAATCAAAAAGGTTCCTGAGACCAAATTATAATGAAGAGGCTCACTAAGAGCCCTTAAAACAAGATGTCAGCTGAAAGCCCTTAAACAAAACCTGAGACTCAAGATGCTTGAAAATGAGGAGATTTCTAGATGTCTGCTTAGAAACCTTTGACATACATAGGTAATAACATATATATATATATATATATATATATATATATGTATATATATATATATATATATTGTGCTGTGTAAGTCAGAGACCACCCTTCATTTATTTAATTTTTAGATGTAGTGGTCATTAAGTATAAGTTGTTCTGAGGAGAGTAGACTTCATATAATCCACTCGCATAATAAAGGAGGAAAAATAAATGAAAAACCAGGAGCTTCCAAAACTGGCGTACAGCTATAAGATACAGTGAAAATGGGACCACCAAAACTGTCCCCATCAGATAAACAGTACTTAAAGCTTTTATCTTTGAGAGAGAGGAGAAAATCAAGCTCCACTCTTGCTTCAGATCTGAAAAATACACAGGTGTTTCTGTCCATCCTTCCACTGTGAGAAAACAACTCAGCACTATGGATCTGAAAGGATGTATAGCTGTCAAGAAGCTGAGAAGAAGAGAAAATCGTCAACCATCATTGAATGTGTTTGGGATTATGTGGCTTGTAAAAAGAAGAAATTGCAATCAACTTCTGTGCCTGAACTTTGGGGGTCTGGAAAAATATCTCTCCAGATTTCTATGAAAAACTGAAAGCAAGTCTCCCGAAAAGAATGGAAGCAGTAATAAAGGCAAAAGGTGGACACAAAAATTACTGAAAAATTAGAAATGATATCATCACTGTCCAAAGAGAAACATGCATCTCCAAAATACTAACTTTACAGGAGAAGGCAAAAGCAGCCTTAGCCTTTAATGTAAGTGAATGCTAAGAGTTTTATTCCCAGTGATTTTGGAGCATTTCTATTAGCCTGTTCATCATTGAATTTTTGACACAACGTAAAGAACAGCTGCTGTGTTCAAATCATATAGAAAAATCAAACAAAAATGGAAATACATTTTTTGGGACAGTGACAATATATTATTTGTTGAGACTTATGTGTAATTTTCTAATGAATATGTGCTTTTTGCTTTTTTCCTGATGCTGAAAATAAGTAACTTATAGAATAAAATTATTATCTTATGTACTTATGGCCTATGGCTTGACTGGTGATTAATATAATTTATTCCATAATTACGTAATACGTAGTCTCTGACTTTTTCACACTACTGTATGTATGTCATAGAAAAACTATTTGTACAAGAACTAACTAATAGTCAGTTGTTGTACAAATAACCATTGTGAGGTCTTATTTATCTATAGCGGAAGTTTTATTTTGGGCTATAAAGGCAATGTGCCCCTTGTAAGGCATAATGGTCTCTTTCAATGTATAATGGCCTTTAGCTAAATTGTTATTATTATCATTATGGAGTCAGCAGAGCTCTGATGCTGTGTGGCTCTGATGGAATGACCCTAGTGGTGCTGTGGCATTTAAATGGGATTACAGAACTCAGCGCAGTCTAGACACCGTCTGTCCTGGAGAAACAGAGGTCAAATACCAAGGGCTACTAGACTGCCCTCTATTAATTCATCTGTTATGAAACTGACTTGTTTGTCCTTGACAGTGTGGCGGTTATATTTTAACTCTGACCGTGCTGGTGAATTATAATTAAGCAGGTTAAGAACACCATGTATGGTGTTCCACAGTCCTGGTCATGGTTTGCTTCTTGTTAAAGGCATGTTGTTTTCTCTGTGTGTTTTGGTAGGTTTTCATAATTGTTGGTAGATGCAATTGTATGAAAATTCTGAGCCGAGTGTGGTTGTTGATATTTTCTTGGAATTCAAGCTCTTAAGCCTGGGGAGCCCATATCTGGTCCTGGAGATCTACTACACTGGAGAGTTCAGATCCAGCACACCTGGCTCTAATATTCAGATTCCTCTGACGCTTGGTTCAGGTGTGTTAGATTAGACTTGGAGCTAAACTACTGCTTGGAGTAGTAGATGTCCAGGACTGAGATTGGGCATCCCTGTATTGAGTGGTTATATTGATAAGATCAGAGTCTGTTCATGATCATAAAACAGGTGCACTTTTAAGATGTGTTTGTTGAATATAGTCTGCACTAAAATGCAAATTATTATCATGATGAATTATGTCAGAGTATACTTTTCTATATATATCATGGTTATCATAAGTACTTCTAGAATACTGAACAACGGCATGTATCATAAAAAGACAGATTTAGACCAATTATAGAGAGCCTGTAAACAACAACAACCAGTAAATATTAACTGTATAAACTGCATTTTAACAAGCAGGTAGTGGAATGTCATCCCAAATGTTAAGGCATTACCTTTTTTCCGAATTTATTTTTACTGGTTGTCTGATGTTTTCTCCAGTTCCTTCTTAAGAAGTTTATTTTCGCAAACATTGATTTTCAAATGTCAGTTTTGTGTCACTGGTGCATTTTGTCCTTGCAGCTTTCTCTAAATAGCGTAATACATACAGATGTTCAGGGGATCTGTGCACTGAGGGTGATTCGAAGACCTTGATGGGAAGGACAGCGCGAGCGTCCAGTCACCTTCAGGATGAGGATAACTCAGTGATCTGATTTATGAAGGTCTGAGTGAGCAGGACTCACTCCGGTCAAATCTAATGGAATCTGCGGTCACCTCAGGACGAGAGACATGACGTTCTTACCAGGGCAAAGTGAGGACACCGAAAGTGGAAAGAGCAAACTGATGGCGTTCATATAAATACTCATGTACACAGAGCTAAAAGTGCTGCGCCGTTGTTGAGGTTTGCCAGCAATGACGCAGGACTTTGTCATTGCATTAGATCGGCTCTCCATACCGCATGTTATCTTAGTACATTCATTGCATTTGAAATTCTAAGCCAGCTGCTTGCTTATCATTAGTGAGATATGCACCTGTGTTGCGTGCAGTTATAATTGGATTCAACACTCTATGTGCGTCACCTAAAATGAACTCGGCAGTGCCTGCTAATGTGAACGGAGGGAGAGAGATGTTTCCTCACACACACCCACATGTCTGTCAGCTGATGTGAGGTGAGATAAGGCGCTATGCACTGTGTCTCTACAGTAAACACCCTGGGATCTGGGGTTACGAAAGGCTGTGTTTGGGCGGTGCTGCATTACACTTGAGGATGCCTGGATTGGTGGTGTTTGGCTGCATGAGTGACGCTACATCGCACCTACGGAGTTGCTTGGGCCAGTTACTTGAGCAACGCTACCCCCAACACTGTCATTTTAATTAGTAAGCTCATTAAGTAGTCAATATAGGAGCACTTATATGCTACAAGCATGCTAACACTCCTGCACTTTTAACAGACATTGTGAGACTGGCAAGCTCACCAACCTCACCCTGAGCAAACCGCCAAGCCTTAAGTGTGGTAGTCAGTGGCTTTAGCAGTACTAATCAACAATTCGAGTAGCTTGTCTTAATAAAATGTTTGAGTAATCTACAGTTATATTGGGAGTCATTGCAGTTTGCAGGCGAGTTACATGCATGTAGAAATATTCGTATTTCAACTGTGTAATGACCTTATTATTTAGAGGATCCACTGACATTCAGAGGAAAAAATACACTTTGAGCAGAATACATGAGCTTTGGAAAATGTTTGTTTACCACAGGGTGTGATAGGGGCCACTTTTCAAAAACAACTTTGACCTGGACTCTCTTATTTGACCTCAGGGGCCTATTAAAATGCAGTGGTAATTTATGATAGCTTTCAAATTAATGAGGCTGGCATTCTTTACATATTCTTTGTATTATATTATCTCAGTCATTTTTGAAAGGTGCCACAAGTTTAAATTTCCATTACTTATAACTGGTATTCCATTTTCCATTTTTTCATGGCTGAGAACACCCTGAGAGGAGCCATAAGCCAAGTGGATGAAGGTGAGATTGAGTAGCTGTTTCTCTGCTTATCCCTGACTGGAAGGCAATGAGTTTCCTTCTAAGCACCTGCTCATAGCCATGGGTACTGATATAACTGGACACACCTCTCTCCTCTGCTCAGGCGTGAGGAGAAGCTTGGGGGGGGGAGGGGAGGGAGGGCAGCAAAGGAGGGACATGGAGACTGAGGCGCAGGACATTAGCAAACAGATTGAGTCAGTCAGCTGAGGGAGGAAGAGTGAGAGAGAAAGAAAGAGAGAGTGAGAATAGCTCACTGTTGATTTGTTTGTAGCTATACCGGTTTGAGAAATCTAATTTTTTGCACAGCATGGCTTACAGGAAGAGGAGCTTCACTTTTGGAGCCTATGGAGGGTAAGAAAGAGAGAGAACAGTCACTATGTTAAACTTAACAGTATGCATGTGTACAGATATGCATATACGTGTGCTGTTTGTTAAAGAATACTCCAGCTTTTTTAAGATGCTCTCTAGCTGCCACATCTGTATTTGTACTATTGATTACCACTGGCAATGATTTTGACACATTTCTCTGTACTTAAGCACCTGTTGCTTCAGCACCTGATCATTGACTTCTATCATAAGGGTCTTTAGAATCAACAGGTTTTTTATTCTTATGTTAAGAACACAGAAAATACAGGGATTATCATCCATAGTAATAGACGTCTATGGTACAGATGCAGCAAATAAATACTAAATTGAAAAATGCTGGAATATTCGTTTAATTGCTTCAGTCCTAGGCTTATTGTTCAGTTGTTAACCTTCAGAATTTGATAATTACTGTGAAACTTGCTTATATTAAAAGTTATGTAGTTATGTGATCCCATGTGCAGGCCAATATACAGGCCCTTTTAAGAATCTAAGTGGTCAACACTACAGTGCATAAACAAACAGCTTTTCAACTGGAAGCTTTTTTTGGCTTCAGACACCTCTTGCTGTTATTAAATTAGCATTGGCATTTGCAACCAAGGTCAGTGCTAAGCAAGACGCTGGGTTCTCTTAATGTCTACAGGCTATGCAGTAATGAGACAAAATCAAGGACAGAGAACAAAGTGTCTGCTCTCCTCCACTGAGCGCTTTCATTTGCTCAACAAGGTCCCACCATGTGGAGAAGAGCACAGGAAATTGTGCTTTAGCAAATGCAGCGCAGAGCACGTGTATAGGCAGTGCAGGGGCCTGGCCTTTGGGGGGATTAGAAGACCCCTTAAAAATCAGAACTAATCTATTTCAGTGTTCCTCATCTTCACTGCTGTTATAATTATCATAGCTTAGTTTGATAATCTGAAGCCCGTGTTTGTGTGTGAAGAAGACCTGCTGTCTGGCCTGTATTGTTGCAAATGAGACAAAAGCAGGTTGACGTTCTTTTCAGGCCCGTATAGGTCTACGGCATGTAGGGTTGCCGATCTGGGGTCAGGTTTAAATGTGCTGTATCTTATGCTTAATACATGCTCACATTGCAAATAGAGTGGTCATACAACACCACCGTTTTATTCTGAATAAATACGGGCCCATGGACATAGACTCAACTCATTTATTCAGATCTGTCATTTATTTAATTTCAAGTCAAAACAGCCTGGTACAAGTAGTTCATTTTACTTTCAGCACCAGGAAAAAAAGTATTTTAGAGAAAATTACACAGAAACCCCAACAACTAAATGTAATATCTCATTTTTCAGTATTTAGTGTGTTCACCCTTTGCCTTTATTGCAGCTTCCATTCTTTTCTGGATATTTGAGGATCAGAGATTTCAGTTTTTCAAAAAAATCTGCACACCTCCAAACGTCCAAAGTTTAGTCTTAGAAGTTGGTTGCATTTTGGTTCTAACGATCCAAGTCATCCCAAACACATTCACTGATGTTGAGGTCTGGACTCTGGGATGGTCAGTCCATTGTTTCCACAATTTCCTTTCTTTAGTAAGGGCTTCTTGACAGCAAGACATCTGAGATATAGCGCTGAGTTGTCTGCACATAATAGAAGGATGGACAGAAACACCTGAGACTTTTTTCAGATCTGAAGTAAGAGTGGAGCTTGATTTTCTCCTATATCTCAAAGATAAAAGCTTTACGTACAGTTTATCTAATAGTGACAGTTTAGAATTTTAAAAGAACTCCAGTTTCTTTTCAGATATATTTCTTGAAAATTAAAAATGTCCTTAATGGCTGTTTTTTGGAACTTAAATAAATGAAGTGCTATAAGTAAGTCGAAAACAGTTGCTAAGTTAGTTGTAATAGTCTTAATCAGTGATTGAATAAATCAGTACTGCTTAATAATAGTTTGACAATAAATGATATGTGTGTTGCAACACAACCTTTTTTGTCAGATAAAATTGTTAATGCTGTGGACTTAATGCTGATAGAATTTATAGATAATCTGTATAGACAATCTGATGAAAAATGCCCGTTGCTCACTAGGCAGGGTTGAGATTGAGCCTGCTCTACTTATACTGTAATGTAAATTTCTTTATTTATTTTTCTTAAGCTACTCTTAAGGCAATTTGGCAGTTAAATGGACTGAGGGAATGTCCTTTAAATAGGTTAAGTCATTAAATTGCTGAAGCTTAGAGCATGCTTTAGCTACTTCATATTAAACATGTAGCTGTCTTTTTACAATAAGGACTGAAAAATGAACACTGGCATTAGAAACCAATTAGTTGCCATCTCCCACCTCTTCATGGGAATGCTCTTTTTAAAGTAGAGGAAATTGCCATTAACAGATAGCGGCAGCATTGTGTGCAATACTTTTTGTTTGTGACATCGTGCACTGCACCTGCCTTTAATTGAAAATTATAAATGGCTTTGCGCTAATGGTAGAAGCTGCTGTTCTGTGACATTCAGGAACACACATCACTCTGAGCTAACAGTTTTCATTATGATTGCTTTGGTTTGGGTGGTATTTTCCCTCAGTCTTCATTTAACTCATTGACTGTTCATGTGAAAGTCCTGATTCAAACAGAGAGGTCATACTCAGTGTGCATGTGGATGCATGTGTGTGTGTGAGAGAGAGAGAGGAAGAGGGTGAGGGTGAGTATTTCTGTGTATCTGTTTTCACACAGAGAACACTGTAATCATTGCATACACACACTCCTGCCCCTACCTCCATCTTCATGTTGTAGTTGTTAATAGTCTGAAGGCTCTTTGTGTATTCATAAATCAGGGCTAAAGTGTTTTTATGCTATGCTGAGGTGACATTTACTGTGACTAACTGCAGAAATAAGGGTAAGATGTTTACTTACATCGTACTCTTAATGGTTTGAAACAAATTCATACAGAAGGTGTTGCAGAAGCATATACGCCTGATCCTGCAACACTTTCTGTGTGAGTGAGGGCTTAGAGCAAATCCTTTAAGGTCACTGGCTGTTCAAAATCTGGCCATATTAATATTTTTGTTATTTTATTAAGTGTTCCTTTTCAACACTTAATTGTATTCTTATTTAATCATTTTATTTTTTTAATTTTGTGGCCAAAATTTTCTGCCTTTTTTCTTTTTTGGCAGAGAACTGGAAGTGCCACTTCTGACAATTTTTGGCCCAAATGTTTTGGTGGCCAAAATAGTTCAGTGGCTTAAAGTTTATGTTGTTAAAATACCTATTGAATGATAAACAATGTGTAATATGTATTTATTTACTGTACTTTTGTCTAGGGATGCACCAATATTGGCTGATGCCTATATTCAATATTTTTATGTACATATCTTCTGAAGCTGATACATAAATATTTATAATGTAGAAATTGGGTTCTACCTAGATCTGGCTAGATTAGCACTAAAGAGAAGCATAACATTTATTAGTGGATGTTTACAAATGCGTTAAAGTGAATTAAATGCAGATATTTTAGTTGCCTAAACATTCTGCCCTTCTGGAGTAAATACATGGTCAAATATCAGTTTGAGATATCTTATCATCTGACCAACGCTGAATTTTTAAGCAAATCATTGCGCAACCTTGCTGTTGTCAAGTATCAGCCTTGAGACTTCATCAGCACTTTTGAAATATGAGACATTCTGAAGGTTTATCTCAAAATTTCTCCTTGATAGTGTAACATACACACAAATGAAACAAGAGATTATGTAAACTACAAGGCAAGCCTGTACCAGATCAGTGCATAGTTAAAAATAGACTCTAGTTTTGCTAGACACCAAACTTTCTCCACTTGTTGTTAGTTTGCTTCTAGAGGTGGGAGGTTGATGTGTGCTGTTGACACAACAGTGGCTTTTTTCCCTCCCGTCAGCAAGATCCATGTGAACACACTGGTATTTTGATTGACGCTCGGCTCCGCCTGAGGAGCTTTGACATTTATGCTGCGGGCACTGAGACACAAACAGCAGGGTCAGCAGGGTGCAAAACTGGCCCTGTCTGCTGATCTGTGGCCAGCATGGTGGGTTCACTTTGAACAGGAATGGTTTGCAAACTGTTCTTTGATCAGCACTTAATGGCATTTTTTCCATTCAGCCTCTGAGACAGTTCACTCGGCACGTGGTTTGTTTTGAGAGGGTGGTAGTAAATAGTATAGTAGAAAAAGGTTCAAAAGTTGCAGAAAGTCCCTTGACTGAGCAGCGACATCTAGTGGTAATTGGTAAAAACTACTGCAACAACATCTAGCCATGTACAGCACAGCAGCTGTTTTAATATTAAACTAAGTGAAAGGCACCTACCTTGTGCTTACACTCACTGGCCACTTTATGAGGTCCACTCACATTATATGTCCACTATATATGTATGCAAATCCATACTGTAACTGTTGATGTCAGCCCCCCCTTTATGTCATTCATCATGTTCAGTTTCTGTTCACAGCACTGCTGTTGACCAAATGACATTTTTTGTAAGTGGAGTGCTGGCACTGCTGAGTTTTACACACATCAGTGTAACTGAGAGTTAACCAGCACCCAAAAATATCCAGCAAAGAGCAAATCTGTATACCAGAAACTGACCACTGATACAGGGCTGGAGGACGGCTAATACAAATTGTACATGACAAAAGACAGTCTTCTCTAGACATTGGAGCTCACACTCCACCAACAGGACACCAGCAGGGTGGACCTACAACCTAGATGCGACCTGTGAGTGTATAAAAGTCATAGACCAACGTTTCATTTATTTATTGTCCAGTCAAAATGGCCATGACGTACAAGAAGAGATGTGGAATAAGGTTTTATGGACTTTATGGATTTGTGGGATTCCTTGGAATTACTTGGATCGTGAGAAACAGAAAATGCAACAAACTTCCAAGGCTGAACTTTGGAGGTGTGGAAAAATATACCAGCAGATTTTTTGGAAAAACTGAAAGCAAGTCTCTTGAAAAGAATGGAAGCTGTAATAAAGACAATAAGTAAACACACTAAATACTGAAATCGTTTGACTTTATGTTTAGTTGTTGAGGCTCATGATTTCATGTTTAACTTAAGGGCGGTTTGATTGGAAATCAAATAAATGAATGAGTGGTGTCTCTCACTTTTGTATAGTGCTGTGTATTAAATTACCTGCAGTAGTACATGTTCTGAAAATGGCCCAAGACTTTGTGTCTGAAATATATGAGGAGTTTGATTCCTTTGTTTTATAACAAAATGAGAACTCAGAGCGAACCATCAAAGGTTACAGACTATTGGTCCTCTCTATCTGCAAAAGGGCCATTTTAGTTTCTCTTGTTTTATAGCAACTCAAGTCAGAGGGCTACCACTTTGCTATAAAACCACAGAGTGTGCTTTTAAGCTGCATGGGGTATATTAAATGAATGGAGTTGAAACAGAATGCCAGCTGCCTCGTAAAGCTGAAACTGTCTCCTCGTAGCTGCTGTAGCCTTGGCCTTTCTCATTAGCATTCCAGAACCTTTGATGCCCTGCTCAAGGTTTTATGCCTGCTTTAAGTACATCGGCGCACCCTGGCAGAATGTATTACGGCGTTGTGAATGCACATTAACAGGATGAAGTATTGAAATTCTCAGTCACTGCTTTTCACATTGTAATGAAGATTAAGCCAATATTTAAGTTTTTCAATTAAAAACTGTGGCAATAGCCTTTTCGCAGTAAGGATGTGCTTCAGTGCTTTCTCATTAGCAAGGCGAACCTCAGTAACTCAAGACTGACTTCTTACCATAAGTTTGACTATTGGTTGCCAAAGGCTATGATGTATGTTGGCACAAGGTTGATTGGCCTTTTCGTTTAGAATGCTAATGGGCCACTGTGGTGATACAGTGCAAGAATGTTAAATAGAGTGAAGATATTTAGAAAAGTGTCTACTTTTTGATTCAGGCAGCAAAAAGTAAAACTGTTTCATTTTGTGGTCAGTAAAACTTTTGTTTTTGTCTTTGCAGAGTGGACAAATCTTTCTCCAAGGCTAGAAGTCATTGGTGAGTCATCCTTGTCTCCTGTCAATGTCAAATACACTTGTGCATACATATTAGTCTAAACCAGGGGTGCACAACATAAGGCCAGGGTTACAAGTACATACCTCTTTAAAAAGGTGGCAAAAGAGATTGAAGAACTAAAAACAGATTTAAAGAGAGCCCTTTAAAGTTTAAAGAACCTTCATATAATGTGACGGCTACTGATTAAATTTAGTTTTTAATTTAGTTTTCTTCATCCAAGCCAACAACGATTTAGGCACTTTTATTTTTCAGTCTGGTCTATAAGTAGAATGATTGTGTATTCGAACTCACCAGCTTCTACCCACCAAAGTGTAGGTCTATAGTTGTGTGCAAAGGTTTAGGCACCCAAACAGAGCAGACTTCTGCATATTTGAATACACCATAACTCTTTAGTTACTGAATACAACATATTTGAAAAAAAAAGCATGAAAACATAATCAAGGCTCATTTTATATATTATGTTTTTTTCCCAATTTGTTAAACTCAGCAGATAAATAGAAATTGTGCACTGAAATGAGCAAAAACATTACGTATATAAGTTTGTTTCCTGTTTAGGATGGGTTCACTAATTTTCACCTTGAAAATCAACAAAATATGTAATTGGACTGGAGGTGTTCAGACTTTTTTTAGGTTTTGTTTAAGTATTTAAGCTCATGATGTGTATTTCCTTATTATATTTTAAACAAGCTGAGACTTTAATGGAAGATTCAAGACTGATTGACTTGTCCTCATGTTTGAGTACTTTTGACAGGCGGTGAAGTATCATATATATATAATTTATATATCTTTTTTTCTAGAATTTATCTCTTACCAATTTTTGAGTTCCAGAACTTAATTTGTTATATTTTATTAAAACATCCCACCAAATTTAAGTGCAAAATTAAACTGCACACTGAGCACACCGATAGTAATTGTGTGAGGATTGTCATACTTTCATATTTTTCTCATACTTTGACTTAAGCATAATTCTCTGGACATTTTCCACCTTTGCCTATAGGTACAAACAACACTACAATTGCAGCCAAACCTACTCAGAGTTCTTACATTGTTCTTACACTGGAGTCAGGTTTAATGCCAAAGCTGTCATGACGGATGTGAATCATGCAGGCTCTGTGTACTTCTAACTCAAAATGACTGAGGAAGTTAAAGAGAGAGAGCACAGAGAATTAGGGGAAGGAGTGAGATTGGATGACAGAAAGTGAGTGAGATGATTGCACTTCTGCTAAATGTAATTATGGTCAGGTTTAAGTTTCTGTGTGCATCACCCCAGATGATCCCAGCGGCGCATAGTAATGTGAACAGATTCCTGAGAGAGACAGGCTATCTTCCTTGCTTATGCATCTCTAACGTTTCTACTGCACACACACACACATACACACAAACACACACATACACACAGTTGTTCCACTGTGGGCTGCATTAGCATAAATTCTAAGCATAATGACACTCTCTAAGTTTTGAAGTCTGTCTCCACTGGGCAGATAAATATCCCAGAGTCATTAAAAGTTTTACTTGCTTATATTTTTGGTAACTGTGCAGTATGGAGGTAACGTGGTGAAGAGTAACAAGTTACAGTCCAACACACTGTTCCGATCATGCATGTAATTTCAGCACTAAGGATCAGACAAAGCCAAACACAGCACCGCTGTCAGAATTAGTATTGTTGAAAGGTACAATGCTCTGGTGATTAGCACTGTTCAGATCAATCTTACTCATCAGTCTGCCATTCTGTCTAAGCCATAATTTGCCTCCACTATCCTCTGAATCACAGGCCCTCAGTTTGTCCTAGGCTGCCTCAGTCAAAGCCTGATTGATTAGCTCTGTCTTGATTAAAAACATTTAGGAGGGAGCACTAGGGGCATTTGCTGACATGCCCCCATTCCCATTGCTCTTGTCTTGTCCACTACACTCTGCTTCAAGTGTCACTTCAGCTTCTGAAGGCTGGTGACACTTTTGTCTCCGAGTAAATAGGAGAACAGGACGAAAAACATCCGGAAGGATGAAACACCCTTTCATTTGATGTCAGCTGGTGCACATCAGGCAACAAGAGCACAGTTGCACATCAATCAGCCTTGATAAAAGCAAATCAAAAATGAGCTTTGTTCTTATTTTTCTTTTGTTTTTATAAGTCTGTGTTCCCATAAGCTGATTTACTGAAACAAAAGAATGCCCAGCTTTAATGTTTTGCTTTTTAGATGGTTTATTGCTTAGTCTTTTCCATGCCTTGTTCTTTCCACTGTGCACAGTAACCTAAATGTTCTGGTACTATAAGCTGAAGGGAGTGAGTTTCTAACATGATCTTTGTGAGATCTAGGTAACTATTCTATTTGGATGTAATAAACCCCACACAAAGACAGTCCCGAATAGGACCACAGTTTCCTTTAGCCAGTAAATAGCGGTATTTGATCAGTGAAAGCTCTGCAAGACAAGTAATGAAATGTAAATCCTGTAAAAAAGTGTCTGTGTAAAATTTTAAGTAAGTAAAATCTTGTGCCAGTTCATCCCCTTGCTGTCCTGTATGTGGGGAAGAGACTTGGACTGCCATCATTTCACAGACACAGAGCTGCACAGGGTCAGTCAGTAGCCTAGGCACGAAACTCAAGGTCCTGTTTGGTTTATTTTAAAGTTTCTTCATTCATTTACAGCTACCGCTACTTTTCCACGACTCCTTCTATTAAAAATGCATCGTCTTTTGCCACAGATGTAGAAATCTGCTGAAAGAAAGAATGTGGTTCTTTAAACGTAGGTGTTTAAGTGTTGCCGGGCTGGGCTGTGGTGATAGAGCAAGCTAGCTTGTTCATTTGGCTAATATCTGTGCTCCAATGCTGTCTGCAGTGCATGTTTATACTGACCTAATGGTGAAAGAAGACATTTGCTTGTTTGGCTGGGATAGCCAAAACAAACAGAGATAAATCATGTGATAACACAGTGTAGTTGTTGTGCATTAAAACCGATAGATAATCAGAATTTTTCCTATTTGTCTGACAAAATGAATTATTCTTGGACACTGTGACTGATATTAAAATTTCCTATTAGAAACTCTGCTAACAACATGTCAGCATCTGACCCCTCCCCTCTTAATGCCATATTGTACTGGGTATAAGTTTTCATGCTCTACTTTGTTGTAGCAATACATGAGTGTATTAAGTATAGGTAAATCAAAAAGGTTTCCAAGTATTGATTAAGCATACATGCAAACGTCCAGCAAAATTCTGTATTTTGAATGCTGAATATGCCATTCATGTGAATCGTGTAGATAGAAAGTGAGGTGGGCTGCCAGCTGAGAATTCGAAGAGAGAATCTTTCCTCTCCCCCAAACACATCAAAGTAGCAGTTTGTGAGAATTTTTGGCAAATTCACAGATGTAGTATTCCATTTTTATTGAACAATGTGAAAAGAGAGCCACATTTCGTGAGTGGTGCATTTTCTTTTCCGCATATTTGGATTTCTTTCTTCAGTAACTTTAGAAAGATTTACAAACAAGGTTGAAGTGTGAATATTATCATTGTTAGCAACCAAGACAGTAAGCTTCCATTTAGTTTTTGTCTGAAATTAATGTAGAACACATCCATTGCTGTGGACTGTTGTAACCACTGTGAGAGCCAAATAACTGTACACATTACACTGCAGGTGGCAATCATCGGGGTCCAAGTACAATGTGGCAGCCTCTATTTATGGTAGATTTGTGCAAGCGATATAGATAAGGAGATGCCGGCCAAATTTCATGCACACTGATCTTCTGTCCTTAGCATGGTAAACGACAGATTTTTAACAAATAAGTCAAAATACCTAGAAAACAGTACAATATTTGGACGTAGAATTTTATGGTAAAATGGCTAGGAAAAACATAACAAACACCTCAGAAACTTTATGTGCTGTCAGTTGGCTGCATGTGAGGAAATTTATGACTCCATGTAAATTTAACACTATTGTTTCTACAGTGTTGGCCCTCATGAAAGAAGTGGAGCGCTCAATTTCCGATTTAACTCCTACATGAGCTGTCCTCGCCATGAAGGAGAAAGAATTGGGCAATAGGAGTGGATTGAGGGAGGATATTGGAATTCAGTCACAGTTCTTAGATATATGAGCGACAGATGGTTTTGGACAGGGGCATTAGTAAAAGTGTTGCGCTGAAAAATTCCACCCTTAAATATGTCTGTCCTTTCTCAAAGCACGGCACTGTGCCTGGAATATGAATATGCAGCGACTGTGGCTGGGTTGTAAGGAAACTGACAATAGGAGTATGTTTTTGAGACAGAGAAATTGTGATGTCAGAAAATTTGTGTTTAATAGATGTGGTAATGTTATAGGAATTGTATGTTGTATATGTCAGAGTGGTTGCAGGACTCTGTGTGGTATGGATGTAAATTCTTAAATGTAAACAACAAACTTGGAAAGCTTAGAACTGCTACCTAAACAGCTCTGCTCTGACTTATTGGATTCTGCAATTGATGTCCAAGATGATAGCAACAACCAAGCAGGAGGAATGATTGGTCCATGTGCTGAATCTGCAGGAGAAGTATCATGTATTCTGTATAAAATCTCTACTTTTGGTGTTATTTGAGCCTGATATGTAGGAAATAGTGCAAGTCAAAGGAGTACAGAACAGAGTTCACCTGTCTTGGGAAGGATTGAGACTCTGGGTTGTCTTATATTCCAGATTCCAGGCATGTAGATGGGTAAATAAATCCCTTCCTAAGAACTTCTCAGTATTTGAGGTTTTGAATTATTTTGCTGTATTTTTGCAGCGATGCTCCTTAGCATTGCTGTGACCAATATATATAGTGATAATATGGGGTGCTACCACAGTTACATTGTGCATTGTGATTTGACTAGCGGTAGACAGAAAAATTGCACTGACCGCTCAGGCCACCAAGATAATCCTGCATCCAAAATTAAGAATTTGTAAGAAGTGTAGAAACGTGTATTATAATTATATATACATTTTTTATATTTAACAAGCATGCAATACCAAAAAATAA